GATTAGGATTTGTGTACTCGCTTTTCGTCAACCCAGGTTAAATCCAGATGTTACACCGCTTCAAATCCAATCTTCTCCACTGTCTCTAGACTCTTCCTTAGACCGCCTTCCAAAAAGAATCAGTCCTCCACAATCTTCTTCAAATAACTCCGAATTTATGCCCTAAATTGATGGTGCAGGTCTCCTTCTACGTTCCCTCCACCGCCTCAAAAGCTTAATACGTTTTTTTCCCACGCACCGATGATCCTTCACAGATATTTCTTCTCTTTTCCACCGATATACCCAATACTTTTCCTCGCAGAGACTGCCTCTGCTCATCATCTATTTCAATGGATCCACTCACGGACTTCCGTTTATCTTCCCACCGCTTCGTCTTCGTTCCCGATAACCTCCACATAAGGAGAGGTTTCCTATCTTCTCTACCGCCAGACTGCACCTACTCTACCCCTGCACATCTTCATGCCGATCGCCTCCGCGTACGGTCTCCAGACGATGCTATCGACGGCACCTCCGCCTCCGTCTTCTATCACGCTCTCGAAGCTTCTCTCAGAAATATCCTCTTCTCTCCAAAATTCTCATTTCTTCTTCAGATACTTCATGTTCGTCGCCGGTCTATTCCCTTTCAGACACATTCTCGCCACTCCAACGCGGTCCCGAAGTCCAATACTTGCAATTATTGGTTCGTCACCGCCACATCTCTGGTAACGATTGAACATCGACGGCCGACAGATTCTCGCCACCAACATCGTCAACCATCACTGGTGCCGGAGGGGTCTGCCACCGCTGGGAAGTAGATGAAAAATGGAAAATCCCTAATTTCTACATTTTCTTTTGGTTCGATTCGTTCTACACACTTCAATGTTTCCCCAAATCCAGGTATGCTCCTAAATCAACTCCGATTTCAGTTAGGACTTTGGTCCTGCAAGAAGCAAATTCCTTCTGTGTCTGTCTCCGTTTGAACCAACGACGGAGACGTTCTATCCGATTTTCTACTTCATCACTGCTCAGCCACATCAAAGAAAGGTAATTTCATTTTTGCGTTTTTTTTAGTAAGATTTTTGTGGACCTACTACCTGTTGTGTTGTACCCTTAGACAACTTTTGTTCGCATCTGTTAGATTTTATTCCATCTTTCCATTTTGTTGAGCATAACAGATGTGTAATTGTCTGATTGTCGTTTATTCTAATAAGAGTAAAGTTTTTTGTAGTTGTGGACCTTTGCCAATTCCATATCTGTACAGTACGTGAACTGAAACTTCATCACCCACGACTACGAGACTGATTGGTGTTTCTGATTACTTTGGACAATTTGGTTGATTGTTTCTGGGAATGGCATGACCGTACCACACTTAATCCTCAGGTTACTACTTTTTTTAGTTCTTAAATTTAGATTTCAGTGAAATTGAACAAATTTGGGACTATGAGTGTTGGTTCTTTCCTTAGAAAAGGCCTTGAAGATTATAGGGAAATGGAATAAAAAAAAGGAGAGCGATGAGGATGATAGATGCAATAGAGAGGTGTGTGATAACATTTTCGTTTCTTATGTTTTGTTCTTAGTCCGTGTTGTTACTGAATTTGTTCAGATAACTAAACGAACTGTGGGTTTTTCTGTTGCAATTATCATATAAAAGTCAAGGAGCATTGTTTCAATGTTGAAGAAGCTGAACTGTTAGAATTTTGGAGTAAACCAACTGGGATGCAAAGCCTGTGGAGTGTCGACCAGGCATGGAACTGATTGAATATATACAGATTTCAAAAAGATTCCTATTACGTGCTCTGTTCTTTACAAGGCTAAGAATGAAGGCTTCATTGACATTGCCAAAATGATTTGCTAAAGCCAAATGACAAGATTACCCTTACCCACCTTTTAGCTGTACTTCCATCCAAAACTAGATCCTCAATCAATTTAGCTTTATTTATTTTTATTAAATCAACACCCAACACTTTTACATGTGTTAAAGATTGATGATAGAAATCTCAAATAGGGAGAAGTTGAAGTCGGGGGTTTAAAGGTATTCTTTTGAAAACATATTACCTTCTATCTTCTAATTTATACTAATCAAAATGACTGTTGATAGTAGTATTGTTATATTTTTGGGGAAATACAAAAAAAAAAAAAAGCACATGTACTTTCATTATCTTATCGATTTTGCCATTTACCTGTTTTATTTAGTCATTAAACCATTATATTTTTTTTTACTGTCTCAAAATTTGCCTGTTTTGATATTATAAAAATTACAAAAAAAAAAAAACAACTTATTTTTACCATTATACTTTTTTTATCGTCTAAAAATTTTATTTACTAATTAAGCCGCTACACTAATATTTTATTTTTTTGATTTATTCATTAAACTCTTAGTTTTTGATGATTTAGCCACCGAACTATTACGATGAAAATCTAAAAAAAAAAAAATAGTTCAGTGGCTAAATTACATGATTCAAAAGTTTTTTTGTGTCATAAAATGGCTGGTCTAAACCTAATCTTGCCTAAATTTTATTTGAACTTAATTCATTTTTAACATGTAACTAAATGTCATCTTCTTTTTAAAGATTTATTTTACATTTTTCTTAGTCATCTGACTAAAACTAAGATTTACCTTATAAAATTAGAGATTACAAGGAAGTTAGTGAATATATAAAATTAGAGGTAAATGGTCAAGACTCAAGAGTGTTATGTTGATGAACTTAAATTAGAAGTAAATGGTCATGAAATTAGAAGGAAGTAGTGATTACATCAGATGGTTGCATGTGGTCAGTTGGAGATTCCACGTGACTTTCAACCTCTTTTACTTAAAGTGCCTCCTAAGTTTGAAGTCTCATTAGATATCAAGGAAGAAATTGAAAAATGTAAGCTCCTCAATGCCATCTTCTATGTTTTATTTCTCCATAAACCTCTGATTTTTGCACTCTATATTTGTATCACAGATGCAGAATTTTTCAGATTTTTTTGATCGATGAATATTACAGGCTGTCATGTTCATTCAATTCACCAGCTAACAACATATATACAAATTTGACATTCAATCGAATACTTAAAAACACACCGTAAATGACATTTTTTTATTAGCTATTATTCACATTGTACAAAAGTTGGACCATTTTGCCCCTGTTCACAATGAATGCAATAGTTATTATTCAATGTTTCCCCAATACGGTGATTTGTAACCCAAAGTTACTTTTTGAGAAGGTATTTTATTATGGTGCATTTTTTAGAAATTTGTATATGATTATTTGTCATTTTGCCTAAAATACCCTTGTGTTGCAGGCAAAAAAGATGGCCCATACACTTAGGAAAATAATTGCTCAACTAGAAGCCATGGCTCGTGCTGACATGCTTCCGTGCCAGTCTGAGGTATTATATTATGTAAAATAACCTTCTATAGAGTTTTGTGTTAAAAAGACAGAAATACCCTTGTGTTAAATGTATTAACTGTTTTATTTGTATGTTTGCAGAGTGGTTTGACACTTGCTGCTGATGGTATATTAGGTCTACTGACCGGATATTTTCTTGCATAAGGTGTAGATTTCAAGAGTGACTGATAAATAAAACCACATTTCTCACCACAGAAGAAATGTTGTATTTTGTTTGGTGAATGTATAGACCCTGAACTTTTGTTCTGTGGCTCAAACAAGCTTCAAGTCTTGAACCTGAAGGCTTCCAACCCCCGCAAAGCTGGGGCACTTATCTAGTTATAATTATTATTTAATATATGTAACAATTGTCTCATTGACTCAGAACTAATGAAACAGTAATGACTAAACTTTTTGACCAAACCAGTATTTCAAGAATGAGTATTTTATACAAGGAGTCTCGTATGATTACTTTTTTTTTCATATATAAGATAGGATTTTTAAATCATTCTTTATTGCTTACCTTAGATGTCAGTTAAACAATACAATTTTAAATGCTATTAAGGAAGAAATATGATATTACATGCAAAAAAAAAAAAAAAAAATTAATTTTCAAATGTATAATATAATATAATTTTTAATTGAATGTGTTTAACTTTCGGTATATTCTTATAACATCTTTACAAATAGATCATCTTTATTTAATTTAAATACTATTTTTTTTACACATTCAAAGAACAATATGGACTACAGTCATGCTAAAGAGAAGAGCAAACTTAGAAAATTATGTTTGGATAAAAAATCAAAAAAAAAAAAGTCATCTACATCAATATCTCATAATTCATCAACCAAATATGTTTTTTTACATGAAAGAGAATGGTGATATTATCAATTTCTTTTTTATCCAACTACTACTATTTTGGAGATTAATACACGAACGAGTATTTTATCAATCTCTTAAAATGATTTATAAATCTTTTAATTTTCTTGATACATTTTCAATTTTTCATTATATTTTCAAAACATTTTATTGTAACATTTTTACCGTCTTCGTTACTTTTGTTTTATAAACCAAATGACATGTATTATAACCATGCTAGAGAGAAGAAAGATTAAAAAAATATATTTGGATAATAGAAAATCCAAAGGAATTTCCACGGCATCAACCTTTAAAGTTCATGTAATTCTCATGTTTTTAACATGCACACCAATGGTAATCGTTTTTCATTCCTTATAAATACAATTTTTTCAATTACTACCTTGCTTTCTTATAAATAATTATATATTTTTTACAAATGTTTATATTGTATAACAGAAATGTGCAATCTTTCCCGACAGTTACTACTTCAAACAATTCAAATTATGTTGGTAACTCAAATAAAAGCACCTATAAATCATTTCCATATCAACAAAGAAGCTTACAATCTCCTTCTTTAATTCTAAATGTTAGAACACCACTATCTAACATTTCCAATGGTATGAGTAATTTTCTTCCACCTATTATTATTGTCATTTATTAAATGTAAATCAATTCTAACAAAATTATACTATCTAATTCTTCTATTATTCTTTATAGACATATATACTTCTTATAATAACATCCAAACACCGATATCAAATAAGAGACAATACTCTTTCTTTTCCAATGGCATGCAATCCATCAACTCATCGACTATAATTCAAGCTTCTTCTTCTGTCAACTTAACATCAGCAACCAAGAGATTAAAAAGGAAGCCTACCAACATATCTGCAATTCCTATGTTTGACTTGAAAATAAATGAAGATATTAATGATCAACATACACATGCAAACATACCTAAAGGTGTATCAAAAGGTAGCCATCACAAAACAATATTTGAATTAATTATTATATATCTTAAATTTATGGAATTGTTACACATACATAGATTGTTATATTTGACATTGATTTTATTTAACAGATTACATTGATCATGGTGACCAGAATGTTGTATGTCAAATATGTTTGTATGTCAAATATGTAATGCAAAGTTGGATGGATGAATCTGTTAGAGGAAAAAATAAAGAGAATACAAGTTTTTCACTATGTTGTGGTTATGGCAAGGTTGAATTGCCAGATTCTAAAGAAGCGCCGCCAAGTTACCAAAATTCTCTCAGTTATACATATATGACACCGACAATGAGGACTCAAATAGACAAACAATTTTTGGGTACATATTCACACATATCAAAATTATTTCATATGTTTTCATTATTTATGATTACAAGTATTAACTTTTAAATTTCATGTTATCCTCAGTCGACAAGAAGATGCATCTATATCAACTTCTGATTCAATTGATCTTCAGATTATACACGATTTGAAGCTTATGTTGGATTCCAACAATGTGTTGGTTCAGTGTTATAGGATGGTAAAAGATTCTTTCCAAGTCAATCCTTACATTGACCTTAAGTTACGCTTTATTGGAAAAAGGATACAAGATGGAATGGCATATAACTTACCGTCTGCATCTGAGGTTGCCGCTCTAATTGTTGGAGACATTGATGATTCTTTTGAAAATAGAGATATCATTGTACAAACTTCATCGAGGTCTCTTCAACGTATTAGTGAATTACATCCTTCTTATCTCACTCTTCAGTATCCATTACTCTTTCCATATCGTAATGATGGTTACAAAGAAGACATCCTTCATCGAGGTCTAACGTCTTCAAGCAGCAGCAAGCGACCTAACGGTACAATGAGAGAACTTTTTGTTTACAAAATTCAAGATAGGGTTAATAGTTTCTCATTAATTCTTAATTCAAGAAGGTTTTTCCAACAGTTTTTGGTTGATGCATATACAATGATTGAAAGCGAGAGACTTTTTTTCATACGGAAAAAACAAAAAATTCTTAGATGTACATCCTATGGAAATCTGCGCAAGGTAAAAGATCAGGGAAGACAACTTTTTCCAACACCGGACAACGTGTTATCTTACATTCTTCTTTTACTGGTGATGAACGATACATGCAGCAAAACTAATTGAAAAGTCTGAAACTTCAGTCGATGAAGATGGTTTTCCGATATATAGGAGACGAAATGATGGATCTTTTGTTGAAAAGTCTGGTATCAGATTGGATAACAGACATGTTGTTGTGTATAAAAAAGACCTTTTGAAAAGATATCAAGGACACATTAATGTTGAGTGGTGCAATCAAGCTAGTTCTATAAAATATTTATTCAAATATATCAACAAGGGTCTTGACAGAGCAACACTTGTTGTCATACAATCCAACAACGAAGGTGGTACCGATGATTCAGTAAATGAAATAAAAGAGTATTATGATTGTAGATATATATTTGCATGTGAAGCATCATGGATAATATTTGGTTATGATATTCATTATAGGTATCCTGCTGTGGTTAGGCTTCCTTTTCATCTTCCTGGTCAACAACAAGTTATTTATGATCTAGACGATGATATCGACAATATCCTTAACAAACCGTCTGTTGCATCTTCAATGTTCACATCTTGGCTTGAGTGTAATGAGATGTATAAACTGTTGAATCTATATGCCCAGGAATCATCATGGAGTGATATTGCTAATAATATATGATCCTATAGGGTCACGCCTTTATCAAGTTGGCACATTTTGTATATTTATTATTAATGTGATTATTAATAAATAATATCGATTCTTGTATTTTAATTAGGGAATAATTATTGTTTTATAAAAATAATAATCATAAGAGAGTATAACTAGTTATTATTTCATATGGTATGAATTAATAAGTCATGCACAATATTTTGGATTAGTTGGATTCTTTTGTCTTTTACCTAAAGACAAAGTTTATATTTTATAAACTTGAAGTTTATAAAAAATAAAGAATCCTCCTCTTTTCAAGAGGTATGGCCAAAAATATTAAAATATGGGGGTTGCTTTTCAGCCTTCATGCTTTGTCTCCCATGCTTCTAAAGGCTAGAAATACTTTAGAGTATTTTAATAAAAAAGTCTTTGTAACACCCATAAAAATCATGCCAAATTTAAACTTTTAAAAACATTGCAAAACCATTAATCATTACAAAAGTTGTTTTCAAAATGTATAATATCATAGTATCCAAGAATCATAAACATAAATATGAGGAGTTGTACGATGACGTCTTTGTCTTTCCGCGATCACCTGATGTACCTGAAACAATAAACTGAAACTGTAAGTCTGAGGCTTAGTGAGTTCTCCGAAAATACCGATACACTGCACATAACACATATACAAATAACAGCATGTATTGGGTCCACAGCTTTACAGACTGGATTACCCCTGGGCCCACAGTGTGATATGAAGCTACTTTACACTGAGAGATTTAAAAGAGATGTAGATCACTAGTGTAAATGAATGTAAGTTCTGTTTATGCTTATGTTTCTGTATTGACGGTGACATCCCAAGGTTTTGAAAATGAATAAAAATACATTTCTTTGGAAATGCTTTGATACATTTCGTGCCTATTCCTTAGGATAATCCTTAGGAATGAATGAACGAGGAATAGCTGATTCTTAGGGTAGATCCTTAAGAGTAAATAAGATAATGGGGATGGGTAATTGGGTTGATTGATTGTTTGATGATTAAACATAATGATTATATTATTGTGGGTTGAAAACCCTATGTACTCACCAGGTTTCCCAACCTAACCCACTCAAGCTTATTTGTATCACAGGTGTCGATATGAAGCTACCTTACACAAAGAATCCAAATGCTGGCCCCGTCATCTAGCAGAGTATGGATGACAACCACGGACTATTCTAGACAGTCCAGTGGAACCCTAGCAGGCTCGCAACCTGTAGGTGTTGTGAACGATGTGTTCACCGGTGTACTCTAAAAACCCATTGACCTGTATCGCGAGTGGATTCTCGAAAACGATACTGTCAATAAAACCCTGGCAGATGCGCCTAAAGGACTCTACTGGTAGAAGCGCCTAATAGAGAACCTCATAACCCCGGCAGATGCGCCTAAAGGACTATACCGGCAGATGCGCCCCATAAAGAATGTCACAATTTTGGCAGTTGCGCCTAAGTGATAATATTAGCAGTTGTGCTTGACAGATGTATCATTAGCAACGATGGATTTCGTGCCTATTCCTTAGGATAATCCTTAGGAATGAATGAACGAGGAATAGCTGATTCTTAGGGTAGATCCTTAAGAGTAAATAAGATAATGGGGATGGGTAATTGGGTTGATTGATTGTTTGATGATTAAACATAATGATTATATTATTGTTGGTTGAAAACCCTATATACTCACCAGGTTTCCCAACCTGACCCACTCAAGCTTATTTGTATCACAGGTGTCGATATGAAGCTACTTTACACTGAGAGATTTAAAAGAGATGTAGATCACTAGTGTAAATGAATGTAAGTTTTGTTTATGCTTATGTTTATGTATTGACGATGACATCCCAAGGTTTTGAAAATGAATAAAAATACATTTCTTCGGAAATGCTTTGATAATGTATTTATCATGTTTTTCTGGGAACAAATTCCGCATCATTTTTATTAAAAGAGGTACTCTGATTTTTATAAAGCATAAACATAATCGGTCTTTTCTGGCCGTGAAAATGGGGATGTCACATTAATCCATTAAGACCTTCCTACTCCAAGCATGGGACATCTTAAGCCATTGGGACCTCATTTTTATCACTCAAAATCTCTTCAAGAGTCTAAAAGGATAGATTTTTCTTCCAAATCACATCATGCACCTTGGGACTTTTGGGACAAGAAATGGTTCCTTAAAGCCAAAATAGCAAGATCCATAACATACATGCATAAAGTTTGAAGCTTTTTACCTTCTGGAGCTTCTAGGGCACCAAACAACTTCAGATCTACAAGCTTGATCTCCTTCTCCAACACCTTGATGTAACACCTTCTTCTTCTACTACTCAAAATATACTCTATAAGCTCGCACACTCAAGGAAATGGTTAGGGTTTGGGGAAAACGGCTCTAAACAATGGAGGCTGAGGTAAGGGAGGGTTATGAGCTCATAAGGTTGTTTATATAGCACCCAAACCCTAAATATTAGGGTTTCCTTTTGTCATGAGTACGCCCAACGTACACAAGTGTACGCCCAGCGTACTAGGGCGCGCCTAGTACGCTCAGAAAGCCCATCAAGAGCTAAGTCCAACTAGTCCAAAGGTGGCCCAATCCCAAAGCCCAATTCAACAAAAGCCCAACATAGGATGCACGCAGGGCGTACTCCTCTGTTACGTTGGGCATACTTCTCCTAACGTTGACCACCATCGGGGTGGTTGACTCAGTACGCTGGGTGTTGCCAAAACCCTAATGAGTGCTTAATGGCTTAAGTACTTAAGCCCAAACTTCAGATTCAGTGACCAAATGTGTCTAGGACTCATAAAGTCACGAACTTTAACACTTTGGACATCCAGAAAGCTCTTAATAATTGGTCTTAATTGTAACGCCCGCAGATCCGGGTTACTCAATTTAGAGACAATAAGCATCAAAAAATGAGTTTTTGATGAAAGTTTTTATAGAAAGATTAATCTTTTCCAAGTGGTAGTATATGTTACAAGGGTTCCGTACATATAAAGAACGCCGAAATCCGAGTTATAACGAAGAAGTTATGACCTGTCGAAGTTTTTCGGCAAAACCGACACGGCACCGGGAGACGTAAATAGTGAATTTACGATGGAGGACTTTTTAGCCTTATAAATCTAAACAAAAGTTGTAGTATACGTTAAACTGAGAACATACAAAAAAAGAACGCCCAAATCTGACTTTGTATGAGGAAGTTATGAATTTTCTAAGATTTGGCATAGCAGTGTACGACCCGAAACTCGAATTTTAGATCGAGCGATTTTTGGCCTACGCGATCTAAATGATATTTGAAGATCTCATTAATAGGAACTCAACGGTAAAAAGACAGACGAAAACGGAGTCCGTATGTAGAGGTTATGAATTTTACGCGGATGATGCGACCTTGGCTCGGCCCTTAGTTCGTGTCTCCCTGTTGGACTCCGGGTAAACTCTGCAAGATCACAAGAAAGAGAGGCCGTCAGCCGTTTCCCGGGAGGAGGCTCCCGGAAAGACGCTCTGACGGTCAAGTTAGAAGGTATTTTAGGGTTTTTGGGGATATAGCTGGGGAAGATGGCTTACCTTGTGAGTTCTAAAGCGTACCCTTTTATACCTAGCGATCCTGCCCTATCCGTACGCGACAGGATCGCTTTAAGGAGACAGGGCCAGAGTCGTTGATTGGTGGGTCGTGCGCCTCTATCCGTTAGAGCGCCCTTATTGGCTCTGACGGTAATGGTCTGATCCTGCCTGTTGTCTCCTGACCGTATCTTTTGTCTTGACGCTGGGAGCGTCCCTGGCGGGCGCGAGCTTTTTGTCGGGACGTTGAGAGCGCCTCTGGCGGGGGCGAGACTTTTGCTGGGACCCCCTGCTCTTAGGGGCGCCGGCCGGCGCTGAGCCCGCTGAGCTTGGTTCGGCTGGCACGCCAGGTTTCTTGGCTAGGCACGGTTCTGTCGTGCTAGCATAGGCACGTCATCAAGTCCCCCAGTCCAGTAGCAGTAGCGTTGCAGCGCTAGTTGTGGCGTTCTGGACTTGATTCCTCTACGCGTTTCCATTTCTTATTTGCCTGCCGCTCCGGTTTTAATGCCGACGTGACCGCTCATGATGGCTGGCGGTTACGTCATTGTGTCAGATATTTTGAATGTCCCACCCTTTCCGTTTCGTTATAAGAATGCTCATAGGGTTTTCTTTGGACCCATCATCTTCTTATCGTCCTCTTTCTTCTTTACACTGTTTCCTTTCTTAACCTTTTCATGGCGAATATTCCCGGTATTCTTCCTTCAGCGGTTGAGTATCAGCAGCTTGAAACCGCTTATGGCCTTTCCTCATTGGAGGGTGTAGAATTTCCCTCACCTGGTTCTTTTATTTCATCCCCTCCCCCCGGGAAAACTGGGATCTATCATAAAACCCTAGATACTGGTGTTCGTCTTCCATTGACAGATTTCCAGGTAGATGTCATTCATAGGGACGACTGTAGCCTGCATATGTTGAATCCCAACGCTGTTAACAAAGTGGTGGCGTTTGAGATGCTCTGTCGTGCTAACGGTTATCTCCCCGACTACTTTGTGTTTAAGTACTTCTTCAGGTTCTGTCTTACCGGTGACAAGTGCACATTCTCTGTCCGACGGGGAGGGCATGCTTTGGTTCCTGACGGACGAACGCCCAAAAATTGGTAGGACAAATGGTTATGGGTGAACCAGGGCCTGGTTGGTTGCGGACGATATCGTGCGAATGCCTTTGCTGACACCATTCCTAAACTTTTTCCCCATAATCAGAGAGTTGATGATTTCTTGAAGGATGTTCAAGTGTCTCCTGAAGACTAATCTGAAGCCCTACTATCTGACGTAGGGATGAGTCCTTCCTGGAGGCGTCGCGACAAGATGGCGGTTTTCTTCTGCGTCGTTGACGGTGAGTGCCTGCTTTTTCCCCTTTTCCTTTTTCTCTTGCTTTCTTCTCTTTTTTTTGTATACTTAGTTGTGGCTAAGATTTTATGTTCTCGTGCTTTCAGGTGTCGAATCTCCTCTTTCCATGGATGAAGTCCTTCGAAAACGCTATCGAGGGAAGTTGGAGCATCCGGAAGTAGACTTGGTCGAAAGCCTCCCTCCTCCTCGCCGGATAGACCAGCTTGCCTTGACCGCCGCTTCATCTACTTCTCCAACGACTGGGGGTGTCTTGTTGTCTGAGGCGAACCCTCTGAGTGCCCGCCCTATCTCAGCCATCATGTCGTTGGGTGGTGTTCGCCCTTCTTCCGCGGAGAGCAGCGAGGACAGCAAGGAGGGTATCATCTTTGACGCCCGACGCATGCAGGCTAAAAGGAAAGCCGTGATGGATATGGGCAAGCCAACCACCAGCGTGTCGAATGTTGCCAAGCGAGTTCAGACTAGGCGCAGTTTCTCTCGTCTTCTGAATTCCATTGCTTCGGCTCCGACGGGTGTTGTTGTGATCCCTGATGACGACAGTCAACAGTCCGAAGGGATTGCTGGGGCGTATAATCAGCCCATTGCTTCTTCTGTGATTGTTTCTTCTACACCTGTTCAGACCGCCTCTCCTGCTCCTGCTAAGGTTTCACCTGCAAGAGACCTGGACGAGCCAGACCAGACTCCTGCTTGTTCGGGTGGCACTGTTGGTGGGGATTCTCAGGCCTCCTAGTTTTGTTCCCTCCTGGAACCTTCACAGCGAGTTGCGCCTCTCTATTCGTGCTAATGCCATCGAGTTCGCCCGACACGCCTTTCCCCCGGCTGCCGTTACGGATATGGATGCTATGGGTAGTCCTGCCCTTTCGCATAACATATACTATGCTGCTGCACAGGCGATGTTCTATCTTGTTGCTGGTGCACGGCGTATTCAGTCCCTGGGAGAAATGGAAGCTACGCATGCCAGGTGTGGTGCCCGTATTTCTGGATTGGAGCGTCGTGTTCTCGAGCTTGGGGACGATCTTCAACGATCTGAAGAGAAGTGTTAGCTTCTTGCTTTGGAGAAAACTGTCGCGGAGGATGCCAGATCTGCCTTGGAAGCGAAAGTTGATTCTCTCACCCAGGTTAACGAGGGTTTGATGATCCAAGTTGAAATCCTCGAACGCGATGCTGCTGATCATGACCGGGTAGCCACTGCTCTGCAAGCGAGTGCTGACGCTGCGCGCCGTGACCTAGATTGTTTGGTATTGGATAGAATTTCGGGCTCATCAAAACTGCAGGGAACGTTTCAAATTACAACAAACTATTTAAGAAGATTTTGATCATATTTATGCATCTTACATTAAATCAGCCATTTTGTTAGTATATCTAATTCCATTTTGTATCAGCTGCAGACCATGTTCTTATTGATTGCCCGGAAATTCTTGCTTTCAGTGGACCATTTGTATGTATATGCATCAGGATCCCGATTCGTGGATCTCTTGGTTCGAGAAAAAAAATAAGAGGATCAAACCATCTCTTATGACTCTTTTTCAAATTCGATAAATGTGGGTTGATCATATATTTCATTAGTTCTTTAATAGTTAGTAGTGTCTTTTTCTTTCATAAAGGGGTATTTCCATGGGTTTTCCTTGGTATCGTGTTCATATCGTTGTATTGAATGATCCCGGATGGTTGCTTTCTGTTCATATAATACATACAACTTTGGTTGTTGGTTGGGCTTGTTCTATGGCCCTATACGAATTAGCAGTTTTTTATCCTTCTAACCCTGTTCTTGATCCAATGTAGAGACAATGTATGTTCGTTTATACCCTTCATGACTCGTTTAGGAATAACCAATTCATGGGGTGGTTGGAGTATCACGGGGGGACTGCCTCTATGACCAGGAACAATATCATGAGTTGGTGTGGAGTAAAGCTCGATCAGCTCTTAATAAAAAATATTGGAGACCTTCTTCATTTTGCTGCCACATGGGGAAGCTGTCCAAAGAAAAGAGAAAGGCTAGTATTCATCTGCTACGGATTGTTATGGAATTTATGGAGGTTCAGAAACAAACGATTATTTCAACTGGAGGGTATTTCATCACTGCACGAGACTGAATGTATTAAGACCATGGTTTTTTATTGGTTAAAACACATGGGTAAAACTGTAATCTATAATTGGGACGAGTGGTCAGTCTCTCCTTTTAATGGCTTGTAATCATCTGAACTCTTTTGTACTTTGTTAATTGGTCCCTCATCTAGTTACTTGCTAGGTGGGGGTACCTCTCTTATAATATATTTGCCGTTTCCAAAAAAAAATTAATTCCATTTTTTCCGTTAATAGAGGCCCAGTTCTTGATCACAACAGTTACCCAAATAATACTTATAATCATAGTGCCACACATGATGTTTATCTTAACACCGTCAAATAAAATGTGTTTCAACAGCTCATATTGAATTAATTTCAACCTACTTTTGGTGATTAAGGGCAATCGAAAGAAACAAGTTCAACCAACCTAAGAAGAGGATTCGCATCAAAGATTGTATATAATTTGAATTTTCGTTTCCTTTTTTCTATATTTTAAATAGATTCGATAGAGATTCGATATAGATTATATTTTTAGTTTTCTTAGCTTTCGGACTTGGAAGAGTTGATTGGCTTGGATCGCAATAATGGACATTTGAATGGCTTCAAATCAATAATCCTCATCATATTAGGGTTGGTAAATATGTATCACGGAAAACCAACCGAACCCAAGAATATCGGTAATTAATATGTTTGGTTGGTAGTACCATACCAAATGTAAAATCATGGTATGGTAGATGTATAAAGTTTTCAATACCACGGTAGTATCATACCAACTAGAGGTGTTGATTGGGTAATTTTTTCGAGTTTCGGGTAATTCGGGTTTTTCATATTAAAAAAAATACTCGTTATCCGACCCAAAATTAAATTCGGGTAATTCGGGTTTGGGTAATTCGGGCAGTGGGTCGGGTTTGGGTAATACGGGTATTACCTGAAATATATAATTTTTTTTAATGGCACCTGAAAATAAATTTAATGAAATAAATATGTCGTGCTCTATTAGTGTTGTTTATATAAACAAACGAGGCATAAACGAAGTTACTCAAACTTTGAACATTGAGATTTTTTAGTCAATAATATTTGAGATATCAAGTAATCTTTTAACAGCTTAATCTAATCTTATAAGATGTTAAAAAACAAAATACTTAAAGATCTTAGTTTAAAAGTTTAAAATGTTTAAGATACATGTAGCCATAAGTTTTGCCATGTTTTGAAGTTTCGTCAAGATAATGAGTTTTGTTAGTTGCAATAAAAACTATAATCTAGAAAACAGTTAAGTTTTAAAGAACATGGTGACATATAAACAATTGCTTTTAATATTGTTGGTGCCATACTGTCATAATAAAAGAGATTCATGTTTTAGAATAATGATAGTTAGTTTAAGCGTGATCAAATACCTGCTACAGAGTACAAGCTCTACGAAAGAAAAAAAGAAGGAATTTTTAAAATAATTTGGATAATTCGGGTATACCTGAAACCCAACAAATGTACCCTATACCCGACCTGAAAAAAATCGGGTTACCCGAATACCCGAAAAAATTAACCCGATACCCGATTAACCCGGCCCGATTTACCCGATACTCGAAAAAATCGGGCTGGTAATTCGAGTATCAGGTATTTTCGACAGGGCTAATACCAACCAATTCAATATATATATATATATATAATATATATATATATAATATATATATATATATATATAGATATATATAATATAGATATATATATATATATATATATATAGAGAGAGAGAGAGAGAGAGAGGTTCATTTTTTAAACTAAGTATTGTGTTTATCGTATGCATAAATGTGGGCAATCAAATTAAATAAAAAATTAAATAATTAAATAATAAATAAGGGTAATTTAGTCATTTGTTTATAACTTCCAAAATAATCCCTATAATCTTGCTAGCCTTCACTCTTAACCTAATTTATTTTCTTATATACAGCTGTCGATAATGACCTGAAACAAAAAGAAGGGCAACTGTTATCGACCTTGTACATCGATGAAGGTGATGAAGGGCATCAGGAACGAGAGAATGAAAATGGCGCAGACCGCATGGATTGCCAACATTATTTACACTTTCAACTTTCACCACTAATCCTTCCAATATACACCTCAATTCTCACTCAAGTTCTGTACGAGTGCGTACTTCAAAAATTAGGGCAGATGTCTCACTCGAAGTCGAAGAACACCCTTTTTCCTTTTCCCCCAAACGTCATGCGAAGGAAGCTTGTTTCCAGGTGGTTGGGTGGATTCAGTCTAGGAATTGATCTTGGGTTGTCTCGTACCGGTCTTGCCATAAGCAAAGGATTCTCAGTTCGCCCCCTCAAGGTTTCTTCCTCACATCTCCATCTCCACTAATGGTCTTTTTCAATCTTCATTTAATATATAATTTCAATTTGTATAACTAATTAGCACAATCTCAATGGGTTCTTAGGTTTTTGATTTGGATTTTATCATGTGTGTGTCTACTCTAGGTTCTGGAATTAAGGGGCCAAAAGCTTGAGAAGGGCCTGCTTGAAATTGCTCAAGAACAGGTATGTTCTTGTTTATTGAAATTCTACCCTTTAGATTCTAAAAAATTAAAAATCAAAAACTGATCCATGTATATTAACTTTGTAGCTTCAAACTAGTGTGATTTGAATAGACCATATGTTTTTTCTTTATGAACCAAAACAAGTTAACCATCATTTTAATTTGACATTCAAAAGTCAAATATTCAATAGCGTATAACGCACATCATGTTTACACTAGAATAATATCTCCATCTTTTTGAAATGAGTGTAGTAATATACATCAAGTTATGAATTTGTTATCCTTGTGCTATCAACATTCTTCATTTTGTAGTAATATCATGTTTGACTTGAATCGGTCAAATATTGACTTCTTTGACCTTGAATTTTGACAAGAATTCTATATTTAAGAATTTCATGCTTTTTAAGATTTTATTTATTTTTTATGACATTCTGTTAGAATATGTGTAATTGTATTAAAATGTACAATTTCATAGCAGTTATTCTTATAGAATGCGTGAAGGAGACATGCTGATCAAGGGCGTGAACGTTGGAATGGAATGACGAATTCCAATTCTGTTGGAATCACAGAAGTTGATGCTTGAAGAACGGACCACATTATTCTTTTAGAATGTATTAGTCGTTGTTAGATTTTGATGTTTCTTCCTGTTTTGATTGTTTTTTTAGTTTTATTCTTTAACAATAAATGTAATTCTTAACAATTGTTACCAGTATTCTATAAGAAATAATGTATTTTTTGTTTTTATTCTTCAATTGATTGTTCAAGATTTTGTTTTTCTACACGAAGTTGTTACTCTTCAAGAAGTTTTTAAAGTCATCATCAAGAAATAGGTTCAAGAATATTTTTATTATTTATCGTTCAAGAATATTTTTATTTTTGAATATACTCATAAACATATTCTGTCAGAATGTCCGAATTAAAAGAATTATAATTCGTAAAATCGGATTTTTAAAATTAATAGAATTTATGATCCCTTAAAAAATGCAATTTTCCTTTATTAAATCTATATTAATTGACTAAATTACCCTTGTAATTAATAAGATGAATTTTTTCAATATATTAATTTAATAATGTATATTAATCACTTTCTTAAATAAGTAAATTTGATGGCCCACATTTATGCATACAATAACACAATAATTACTTTAAACAAAATAACCTAAGCCTATATATATATATATATATATATATATATATATATATATATATATATATATATATATATATATATATATATATATATATGCTTAGGTTCTTGTAGTTTAACTATTTTTTGTGTGGATATAGGGTTGATTGTGGACCAAATACCTTAGTTATTTTAAGAAAAGTGATTAATACATATTATTGAATTAAATATAACTGAAAAATATCATCTAATTCCATTATAAGGGTATTTTAGTCAATTAACATAAATAAAAAAAAGGAAAATTGTAGATTTTAAGGAATAATTAATTCTCTTAACTTTAAAAATCTCATTTTTTCTTGATAATAATTATATTAATTCAGACATTCTAAAAGAATATGTTCATGATTATCTTGAAAAAAACATTATATTTTTACAGAATACTATAAACATATATTATCAAATTTAATATTTTTTTAATGAATACAAATTTTATATGAAATAAAATTACATTAATTCTTAAATAATACGACTAATAATTACTGAGAATTATATTTATTCTTAAATAATAAAACTAAGAATGGTTAAAAATAAAATAAACGACAAATCTAATAAAATCACTAATCTATTCTTAAATAATATTTGCTAATAATCGTTTTAAACATTTTGGGCAAAATACTTTATTCTAGAATATACTCTTGTTTTTCATGTTTTTTTTTTCACATCAATGCCAACATTTTCAAATCTAAACTCAGAAAGAAAACATAATAAACTTTCAAATATTAAAATTTCCATCATATATGTAAAACCCAACATTACCTTGTCCTTTGTTTTTATCAATATCCTTGATTTCATCGTCTGCTTCTATCATAATGTAACAATAGTATATGAGAATGTAAGAATAGTATCAGTTAATAGTATATGTATTAAGCATATGAGAATGACACTTCTATAAAAAAATTAATGATTTTCATATGTATATTATATTTAATGATGATATATATGGTAAATGAGACATGTTTTTCAAAATGCTTGGTCTATTTTTTTCATCGGCAGCTACATATGATCTATCCACTCTAAGGTTAATTGCATGATATCCAAAACAGATTTGGCACTTTAGTACATAGGCATCGATAACTACATATGTTCTATCCTCTCTAAGGTTAATTGTCCGGTATCTCAAAATGCAAGCCTTATATCCCTTACAAAAGATGTTACAAAAACTAAGAGGTGATAAAACCATTTAGTCCCTTACTAGTTTCATATCCAAATAGATTGTAAGTTACCAAAACAGAATAAGACTTATCACAGAGAGTGAAAGATAGAAGATAAATATTAAACAGTTCAAGTGGTTAGACAATAAGAGCAAGAGATGGTAATAGGAAGACCTAAACTTTACTATGATTCGTAACTAAAAGAATATACAACCAAAAGCCCACAACTATTTCATGGAAATTGGGATATACTATTAATAAATGTTAACCAACAACCTGTGAACATAAAGTTGAAATGGATTGAAAAAAAAAGTTTTTTTTTTGTTTTTTAATTAAGAAATCAAAAAGATTGTCGCTAAGCATACTAACTTATAAGCAATTGAATGCAACACTTAAAGTTGAATTTGATTGAAAAAAAAACAATTTTTTATTTTTAAATTAAAAAATCAAAATGATTGTCATAAGAACAAACCCACATTTAACAAAGAAAACTTTTTTAGACCTGTATAACTTCATGTTACTTTATCTTTGTAAATCTATAAACATGTTATTATCTTTTGACGAAGTATTATACTAATTTATATTAGGATATGCTCATCGCTTATAACTTTTTCTAATTGATGCCTATAAATTTTTTTACAGATTAGGACAATACATAATTTGTATCAATATATGTTCATCGCTTACCTCATGCGGCAATTCAAACAAGGCAGCAACATTGTCGAACTTGTGATTGTCGACACAACCAATTGTCGATTAATCGATTTCACAAGCACACAACGATTGTCGATTAATCGATTTCACAAGCACACACCAATGGGTTTGTATGAGTGTCGGCTGTTAATTTATAACAGTGGGATAAATATAAGGTTAGAAGAAGTCAACTACTTTAGCATGATAATGGAGATGACGGTGGTTGTTGTATAGGAATCGACTGTATTACGGTATTAAGGTTATTGAATATAATTCATGGCATTTATGGGAAATTAATTCAATATTTTATGGAGTAATTAAATATTTATTTAATTAACAAAATTAAATAATATGTAGGATTACAATTTTATCATTATTTATGGTTTTGAAATGATTGGTCTATATTGATTCGTACATCCACACAATAAATAGTTAGAATATATGAACCTAACTCTCTCTCTCTCTCTCTCTATATATATATATATATATATATATATATATATATATATATATTATATATATATATATATATATATATATATTGTATATCGTATATTTAAAATTTTAGTATGTTTGATGTTTATGATTTACGGGCTTTGATATTAGCATTTACTAAATTAATAAAGTTTAAAGTCTTCAAGTTATATTGGTGTGTTTAATATTCCTTCACCGCTTTAACTTATAAATTGATGATATAAATCAATAAAATCATTTTGGAATGAATTTTCATTCTCAACAATTAGAAAACTCATATTCACAAAATCCCCATTGAAGTTTCACAATGCTCAAGAACACGAAAATCGTCATTCACAAAACCCTCATACATGTTGGTATATACCAGTATCAACATGTATCAACCAAATTTATTGGTAGCCAAACAAATTTGTACCAACTATACTTGGTAAGGTAGTAATAGAAACTTGTTTGTACCAACTAGAATTGGTACAGTATACTGTTTATGATTTACGGGCTTTGATATTAACATTTACTAAATTAATAAAGTTTAAAGTCTTCAAGTTATATTGGTGTGTTTAATATTCCTTCACCGCTTTAACTTATAAATTGATGATATAAATCAATAAAATCATTTTGGAATGAATTTTCATTCTCAACAATTAGAAAACTCATATTCACAAAATCCCCATTGAAGTTTCACAATGCTCAAGAACACGAAAATCGTCATTCACAAAACCCTCATACATGTTGGTATATACCAGTATCAACATGTATCAACCAAACTTATTGGTAGTCAAACAAATTTGTACCAACTATACTTGGTAAGGTAGTAATAGAAACTTGTTTGTACCAACTAGAATTGATACGATATACTGTTTAGTGAAAAAATGAATTTATACCTACTAAATCCAACCCTATATCATATCATCCTTCCATACTTTTTTTAGTTTTCATTAGAATTAATTTCTATTTCTAGATATTCAATTTATGAATATCTTTATTTGGATTTTTACTGATTCGAATGACATTGATTTAGGTTAACAAGATACTTTGGTCTCCTTGAAGTAGCTACTTTGTCACCAACACAACAAGTGATCGAATATTAAATAATTCTTAGTTGCTGAACTGAAAAAAAGTTTAATGGGCAGCCCAAAATTAACTATCATGGGCGATATACAACTTAAAACATTTTTTGGGCTGGTATGAATGGACAAAAATAGGCTAAAAATCCTTCAAAGGGCTCCAATTCACTCAAACCAAGGCTCTGATACCAACTTGTAACACCCAAAAATTCAAGCCAATTTAAACTTTTAAAAACATTTCAAACCATTAAAATCATTACAACTTTGTTTTCAAAATGTATAATATCAGACTTCTCCCAGAAACATAGACAAAACATGAGGAGCTGTACGATCACGTCTTCGCCTTGCCGCGATCCCCTGATGTACCTGAAATAATAAACTGAAACTGTAAGCCCGAGAGCTT